ACACACACACACACACACACACACACACACACACACACACATACATACATACATACACACAAACGTGTGTTTGAAATGACATTTTCCCCAAAGGTTTAGTATTAAAATTTAATACATTGAAAAAGTAAATTATCTTTGTAAGTTACATCCATCCCTGACAGTAGCACACCACATACTGTTAAGAGGAGGGTGTGCGGTCACGGTCTGGGGCTACGATGTTTCCTTTTTGCCTCGATGCTCAGTTAAGGGGCATTTCCACAGAGAGCAATGTGGACGTCTGAACTTAAGATAAAACACCAAACTAACCAGTCTGGTACTTCTTACTCAAAAGTTATTTTCTGTCAAAATGAGATTTCTCATTTAACTGAGCATTGGTACACAGTGAAAACCTGTAAAAACCTCAAGGGCATGACCAAACACCCTTCTGGTAAGATATTTATTAGGTATGTACAAATAGCACAGAAGATTATGCTGATTGTGGTTTGCTTACTTTAAAGAAAGGAAACTAATTTTACAAAAACATCATCCTATTTCATTTTGATAAGTTCCTATTCTATAACACTACAAATTGTATGCAGTTCTCTCTGTGGTTTATCTGTCAGGATCTTATTTAGTGTGATGTGCTTGAGTACCGAACTGAACTGAAATGAACACAAAACTCACAATTAATGCGCAGCCAGACAGGCATTCTAAACAAAAAACCCTCCTCAATCTATATCGCAAATTTATAATAAAAGAAACCAACATGTAAACACAGGGTGGTATTTCATCAAGCAAGACAGACAGATTAAGGTGAGGTCACACCTGAGTGTTTTTCAGTATCTGTTTCCTTTATCTTGTCACAGACAGATGTCAGTAACTATATTGTCTCTCTTCGGGTTGGTCTCCATTCACCTGTTTTTCATTCACGTGCTTATCATGTCTCACTAAATGAAAGCCCAACTCACTAGTGTAATAACTGCAGATCATTTTAAATGCAATGAAATACATGTGACACCCAAACTTTACTTCCAACCAAGTAAGCCAATCTTAAGTCAATTTACATTTATAATTTACACTTCAATTTGTTAAAAAAGCGGATTCAATCTATATACGGTGTATATTAGTATCTTTTTTATGGCCATCAAGTATCATGATGCCAAAGGGGATAAAATGGATCAAAGCGGGTTTATACACACACGCGCACAAGCACACACGTACACACTCAATCACTCGACAGGTAATATGGTTGTGACTTTTTCAAATCACCTTCTTAGGACTGGTTAGCTATAGCTTCCTCAGTGGTGACCAGGGTCAGTGGCACCTTGGGTAAGTAATACTGTGTTAGTGTTGGTGACCAGTCTAAAGTTTCAAGGAAGGTTCAGAGAAAGTTACAAATTACAGTTAATTTCCTGCTTGGGAAAATATTTGACACACATTTTTACATGATTATACGTACAAGATGGGCAAAAAGATTAAATATTTTTTGTAAAAATATATGCACATAGGTGCATAAAAATACAATATATGTTAACCTTGGCCACTATTATTTAAAATTAGTACTTCATTTCTCATGATGGGTAAAATAACTGGATTGTACCAAGGTAATCCACTTCATTAGCATCTTGTTACTATCGTTGTTACAATGTAAAATAAAGCAGGTAAATAGTTCTGAAATATGAGCTTTGAATTTCATACTACAGTTGTGACATAGTCTAAAGCCATGGCAACCATCACAAATAAACCTACTATGAAGGGTGGAACCATCCTTTTGAAGGAGGTTGGGGGAGGGGTGCAGAGAGGGGGCTGGGATCTTCAGTTTGAGTGGTTTGTTTAGGGCATGACGTAGAGAAGAAATTATTGGGGGGGGTCACATTTTACCTGTTTGTTCTCAGCAAGTTTAGTAACATCATCCACAACAGCAAACCCTAGTACTTAAAAAAAAAAAATAATAATAATCTTGAGCTCCTCAAGTTGGGCAGGCTCAGATCCCGATCATATTCCATTTGTGGAAGACATACAAAAAGGCTAAAATGTTAAATCCCTTTTTTGGTTTACCATGCCTCTTCCGTCAGTGAACAGCAGGCCCACCCTCCCACTGCACACTGGCAAGGGCGAAGCAGGACCAGTTGTGGCTTGGCTTCAATTAGTCTTCAGCAACACACTGCAAACTTGCTTGAGCTAAAGTGGGACTTTGCAGCCTGCGCAGTGCTGCACAAAGTGGTGCAGTGTGGGAAATACACACAGTGAAGTACCTGATCTTCTGGAAGCTTCGGCGGGCCATGTCCCAGACAGAATAAGCTTTGCTCCGAGAGTCAGAACCCCAATCCGTGCGCGGGCACACGTCTGTAAAACATGAGCCTGTTGCAGAGTCACTAAAAGGTCATATAGGGGCGCCCCCTCCTGGTCTCCAGTTTGACAGCGAAAGTTTGGCGCACATATATATATCTGACATATATGTCCATTCACGGTAGAGAGACCCCGCCTTCCCGCTACTGGTGACGACCCAGTCCATAGCATTCAGTAGGGGAGGGGACGGTAATGTTGGGGGGCGGGGGGAGCTCAGAAGATCTGAGGGCATCGACTCCAGTCCTGTTTTTCCTTGGCCTCCCAGTAGCCGCCAGCGTAAACAAAGCTGGCCTCCCCGGTGGCGGGATCCGTCCTCTTCTTGAACCAGACAGGCTCGTAGCCCTCGTACTCACGGCCTAGGAGAGGAGCGATACAGTTACTATCGGGCTGGGGGGGTAGGCAGTGTCAGCTTTGTACAGGGACCCTAAAACAGCTTATATCATCATGACACTGCTACCGCTAGCTGCCGAGGTTGGTAAAAATACAGTTGAAATCCCAGGGGATATAGTGGGTGTGCTACAGGGCACTGAAGACATAATCTAAAGAGATCCAACCTGCAGATCCACATTAGCAGACCCAGTACTGCCACGCCAGAGTGTCAGCACAGAATGGGTCTGCCTGAGACATGGTGGACGCGAGCCCAGCCCTGGTCTGCTAAGCAGGAATGCTCTAAGAGCAAACCCACAGTACTGCTGGAGGTGCAGAACGAAATGTGCTGGTAAAAAAAGACCCTGTTTTAACCTCTCTCTCCCTCCCAGAAGCGGACTGTGGCTTTTAAAGTGAAAGTCAAATGCTAGAGGCACCAAAGACAACCTTGGCTGTCCGCTACACTGCACATGAGACACTTCCCAGCTGCAAGCTTCCATGCCTGCAGGACATGAGATTGGAGGCGGACAATTTCCATGCAGATCCAAGAGCGTAGCCGACCAACCAAATCGACACGTCACGGGCATTCTTCACCTTTTTGTATGTTTGTCTGTAAACTGTTATCAAACACACGCCAATCTCCTGACTGTCAGGATTATCTATGGGCCCTTGCAAAGTGAAAGCTTGATGTCAGTCTAAGCTGGCAGAAATGAGCTGAGGTCAGGCATGGCCATCAGCCAGCTGTTATTTTGCAGTTCTGTGATTGTTAGAGGAATGTGTCCTCGGGAGACCTACGTTTGTGGCTCATTGTAGCAGATGGGGCTATATTTTGGGGCCTTTACTGTCCATCTCTGCACTATACTCATTATTATCGCTGACCTTACTGCTCTTTCTGTACGTTACTAAGCTCTTGCCTGGCCCGCCTTACCCTCCTCGAGTGCACTGTTGGCCTCGGCCTCCCTCCTCCTCCTGACGGCCCGCTGCTTCTCCTCCAGCCGCTGCTTCTCCACGTTGGCCTCGTCCCAGCGGCCGGCCTCCATGAGACGCTGGTCGGGCCGCAGGCGGCTGTCCGTGGGCCCCATACTCTCCTCGGGCTCATTCAGCGTCAGCGCCAGTGAGGAGAAGTAGTACATCTGTTCTGCGTTCTCCCTAAATTGAGGAGAGTGGACAGAGCGATCACCAGAGAACCATATTACCTGCCATTTTTCTGTAATATTACCCTTTATTACTCTGATAGCCCCCATCGCCCACCCCATGAAAACCTGCGTGAAGTTGGCCCCCCATATGTTTCAGATTTCAACCAAACTGGTCTCAATCGTATGTGCCGCGTTTGTGCCGCTTAAACTAAGGCATAAACTAAGAGATATAACTCAGAAAAATAACAATACAGACAACTTTCAAACGGCACAAACTATTGCGATCGGTTTGGTCGAAATCAGA